CAGCAGGACGGACAGGAGAGCTTGCACCATCACGTCTGATTTTGTATTTGTATCCTGTCTATAGACCAATCATAGAAATAAAAAGCTTGTTCTTTCATTATATAATTATAATAGCTTGTTCTATTACATTATCTTTAAAAAATTTTTTTTTACAATAATTGATTATTATTAATATTATGATTGGTATTACACATTTTCCCCTTCCAACTCAAAGCTGCTTGTTTGATTTAGAATGGTTTATAATAATAATAATAATAATTATTATTATTATTATATTATATTTCCCTTCCAAATTGTCGTCATGTTTTATTTAGAATACTAAATTAAATAATTATTTAATAATAATGATAATTAATGATTGTTGTTGTTACACATTTTTATTATAATAATTTTGTTGTTGTTATTTCCCTTCCAAATTGTCATGTTTAATTTAGAATACTTTATTATTATTATTATTAATATTATTATTATTTCCCTTCCAAATTGTCATGTTTAATTTAGAATACTTTATTATTATTATTATTATTATTATTATTATTATTTCCCTTCCAAATTGTCATGTTTAATTTAGAATACTTCATAATAATAATAATAATATTATTATTATTTTCCCCTTCCAAAGTTTAATATAAATGTACATTTTTTTTTTTTTTATATATGAAATATCTTATTTTGTTGATTAATATTTCCTCTCTCAGAGTGGCTCTGGGCAACGCAGTCAGAATGCCTCCATTCAACAGAAGGCACAGATCAACAAGTCGGGATACAACAGCTACAACTGGGGAGGCAATTAATACCCTGTCCTGCCCCGTCTGGTGTTCCAAAGGCTGGATTAGTGGAACCTTTCCTTTCTCCCCAGATATCTCCCCCTTTTCTCTGTTCTCCACGGCGCTCCCTCTCCTCTCTCTGCACGGTCACCCTGCAGTAACAACTCCATTCCACTGGTGGCGCTGTCCTAAGAGAGATAGAACTGTAAGGCGCCGCTTGAAAAAGGGGCACCGGGGAGAAGTCTTAACGGGGAGCGTGATCTCGCGAATATATGGATAGTTACTTAGGCCTTCATGATCGGAGTATTGAGTATTTGGAGTTTGTATTGTGTTCAAAATACAAAAAAGCCCCTCCAAAAAAACTTTTTTTTCTTTCTGGCATATGTAACATAGATCTGTTTTCTAAAAGGACAAAAGTTTAGTTTTTTCCCCCTCTTCTTTTTCTTTTTACTGATGGATAAAATGAAAAAGAGAGGTTTGTTAGAGGGAGAGAGGGCAGTTTTTTTTTTTCTCTCTGTTTATTTCCCTCCTTTCTGCTTCTTGCTTGATCAGCACCCGCGATCCAAATGTACATGCATCTCTGTTTCTCCCCCTGCAATGAGTTTTTACCTAATTTTATTTTGGGAAAAGAAGATATCACTCTAAATCGGCTAGTGCAGTTGTGAAGTTTATTTTTTACCAAATATAAATGGATATATGGAAAAAAAAAAAAATGTAAAGGTGAGTTCACAGGCTTCAGATCTGTACTACGTGTGTATGTGCATGTGTGTTTGGGTTTATTTTGTGTGTTAATGAATGAATTGCATCGTCAGGGTGGCCAGTGTATGAATGTTGTACTTATAGAATAGGCTTCAATGTGTATTCCTTTTTAATTTCTTTATTGGAGCCTTATTGTACTCTCCAGATGTGAGAAGTGCACTGGTCACCTTATACTTTAGACTTATTTTCTGCAAACTGATATTTTTTTGGTCCTCATTAACCGCCCTTCCTATAGCAGGGAGACTGGATTATGTTAAGGCATGACTTTTGACCTCTGCGTTTTGATGTTTTTCATTTGGTCATTCGGTTTTCTTCGGCCACCCTGTGTGTTTTTCCACAGCCTATGTCCTCCTCTCATACCTGCAGTCATTCTCCCCCTGAAATGCGCCACCTTCTGTCCCCAAATATATTCTTTTAGTAATATGATTATCGTGTTTTTCCACAGCCTATGTCCTCCTCTCATACCTGCAGTCATTCTCCCCCTGAAATGTGCCACCTTCTGTCCCCAAATATATTCTTTTAGTAATATGATTATTAGGAAAGTGCTGATGGACAGAATTGTACTATAGGTATTTTTTTTTTCTCCTTTTTTTTTTTTCTTTTGTCAGTGACTTTCTTTTTGTACTGTGCGTTTTAAAAATTTAAATGGATAAACTTGTCTTGTACATATATATATATATATATATATATAAAAACACAAGTACTGTAGTCAATGTTTGTTTGATGGTTTCTTTTCTCCCCTCTCGAATCCTTACACACAGACTTGTTAGCATTTTTTTTGTTTCATAATGTTTTTTATTTTGTAAAAAAATATATATAAATATTAAGTAAATAAACAAGAAAAAGACATTTTCATAATTTTGATGTGAATGTCTTTTTTAAGAAAACTATGATTGTGTGCCTTTTAACTGAAGTGTGCTTCTTTGTCTTTTAGTTTTAGGCCTTTTAAATGTTGCTTTGCAAACAAACAAAAGGGGCCAAAATCTTTTGAACCCAACATGAGATGGCTAGTTGGCAAAGATCTTTAAAAAAAAAAAAAAAGTATTTTCAGCATGCATCTTGAAATGTCAATTTATTGTTGTACATAAAAAGGATGTCTTGCCAAAGTGATTGTTAAAAGTGTTGATTGGGGTATTGAATTAAATGGCTTGCAACACATTTAGAAGGACATCTGTGAATAGTCATACATATTGTGTTTGCCAAACATTGCAGGGCTGTACGTTAACTTTTTTTGCACATAGCACTGGTGCTACAGAGGTTGAAAGTTTTGTAGCACAGGCCAAACAGTTTTAGCACAAGTTAGGGGTAGGCGATATGGCAAAAATATATCACCATTTTTTTTCAGGAATATCACGATTTTATCACGATTCTTTGTCATGTTAGTTTTACTATTTTGCAAGTTGCCTGAGCAGTACAGCCAATCTGATTTCCCCATTATAAAAAAAAAAAACCTTTCAAGGTAACACAATATAAAATAAAAAGGAATGACAGAAATTTAGGCCAAAGTGGGCGAAGATAAAAAAAAAAATCTTTATTAGAAAATAAGAACAAACTATATACATTACAAAAACACACAATATGTGAATAAAACTGCTTTATTTTTCAGGTACAGTATTTAGCAGTAACATTAAATATTAAAATAATACACTATATACTTCAATTATAATTTTAAGCAACTGTATTAAAGTTCATCAGTCATGAGCAGTGAGTGATTTTTCTCAGTTTTTTTATTTATTTATTGTATATTAAAGGGATAGTTCACCCAAAAATGAAAAACTGTCATCTGTCTGTCATAGTGTTTTATTTTTATACCATCATTTACTCACTCTCAAGTTATTTTAAACGGAATTCATTTTTTCTTGTTGAATATAAAAAAAAATATTTTGAAGAATGTGGGTAACCAAACAGTTGCTGGTCCACAGTGACTTCCATAGTATTTTTTTCCTACTATCAAAGTCGATGTGGACCAGCAACTGTTTGGTTACCTGCATTCTTCAAAATATCATCTTTTGTGTTCCGCACAAGAAAGAAATTAATACAGGTTTGGGACAACATGTGAGTGAGTAAATAACATATTTAATTTTTGGGTGAACTATGCTTTAATGACAAGGCAGCATGTTTAGTACTGTCGCTTTAAGAGCGGCACGTTTAAGAGCGGAACTGTTTACTTTAATTTTAGACATAACCGGGGGCGGATCTAGAAAATAATTTTTAGGGTGGCATGGGCCTATGAGGGGTGGCAACACCAAAGCAAGCCCCCATGCATAGGGTTTGGGACAACATGTGAGTGAGTAAATAACATATATTTAATTTTTGGGTGAACTATGCTTTAATGACAAGCGGCAGCATGTTTAGTACTGTCGCTTTAAGAGCGGCACGTTTAAGAGCGGAACTGTTTACTTTAATTTTAGACATAACCGGGGCCGGATCTAGAAAATAATTTTTAGGGTGGCATGGGCCTATGAGGGGTGGCAACACCAAAGCAAGCCCCCATGCATAGTTTTTGGGGATTTATGGTCTGACGTACACAGTTGTTCACAAATATTATATTACCATTAAGTAATCATCTATACTGTTTAAAATTAAAAATAAATAACATTTCAATATTCATCATGGCACCGAGTCAAAACACAACATAAAAAACTTCAACAGGTTATAAATGTTTCTAAGCTTGTATCACTAAAGAAGACATGCGGTTCTATTAAAATTACATAGGTTACTTAGATGGTATAATCGTGTTTACTGCATGTTTAAGAGCAACAAAAACGTTTGAATTTCCTGACATTAGAAAGAAATACAATATCAAAGCACTGAAACTGGATCAGTTTTGAAAACAATGTTTGATTTTCTGTTATTAACAGAGGTGGGAATGTCTGTAATCACCCAGAACGAACTCTATAGTATCAACCATATACTCTAGCAACACTGCAGCAACTGCATAGCAAGAGCCTAGCAACCACACAATATCCTAGCAACACTTCAGCAAACATCTAAAACCATTTACGTTTTTTAAACAAGACTTTAAGACAAGCCAGCATACATTTGTCTTTCAGACTTTTCAATCTAGTTATTACAGTTTTTCTTACAGGTTTTTTCCAACTACATACATTTTCAAAACTTTGCCTCTTTTTTTTTCAAAACTTTACACACAAATCCAAAAATTGCACACACAAAATACAAAATGCCTCGCATCTCTTAAATATGATAATTGGATATTCTTTATTGAAAACATGTATCCTACATTTGAAAAACAGCCATGGGTAAAATGACCCCGTGGCAGTTCTAGTGTTAATATAATAATTTAATAATGTAATAATTTTTTTTATCTAAAATTTCTTAATTCAAAATAAAATATTAATAAATACATATCTGATAATCCCAGATTGATATGGCCACGCGGGTTTGTTTACGCATTAAATTTGTGAGAAATTGAAAGAATTTTAAAACAAAAAGAGCTTCATTTTTTTTAACTTACAGTTACAGTCATTTCTTAATTTATGCCAGGAGTTATGTAAATGAAAAGGCTTTGCCCCTGGACCTTGTTCAAGTAAATGGTGTGAGGGGTAAAAAAAAAATCATAATACTTTATTAACATTTATTTATTTGATATTTACACATTAAAAAAAAAAACGTCTTAAATGATCACATCATGTTTCCATGATTTGGTGAAGTAAACAAATTGTAGTTTTTAAATGTTCTCTTTACAGCACCTAATGTAAATCCTTCACGTAAATTCGTCGAAAACTTGATAAAAATGTCTATATTATTTTCCAACTACCGATAGTCTGGGATTATGTCTATTTATTTTACAATTCAAATTTAAAATTGTATTCCACATCTTGTAATTGTTATTAGTCAATCATGATGGCCGATTACGGCGGACTTGTATTTTAAAAGGATTTTCCGGAAGTTAGTGGAAAGATCCCGTAGGTTTCCTCTACTGTACTTCCTGTGCTGGATCTCTGATGCAACTGATTGTTATGGTGCCGTTTGTGAAGGATCACTGGATACTGCGTCCTTAAATGAGCGTTTTTGATCTGTTTCGTGGGTTTTTCGGGGTTCCCGGTGGTCATTATCGTGGTGATGGCCGCAGGTGAGTCTATCTAACAGTTTAAAGTGTAAATTCCCCCTGAAAGCAGCAGCTGTTAGACTAAATAACACTTTAATATAAGAGTTAATATTGTCAAGCCACGCTATATAGGTTAAAATATTGTGTATAGTGTTATAAACGTCCATACTTAAAAAAATTGTATTTGTGGAGGTTTCTG